AATCAAAATATTGGGAAGGAAACACTAAAACTGAATGAGGATCGAAGTCAAGGAGTTTTTGGCAATGAACTTAGAATGATTTGAATTATTTACAATTTACTTAAAATTAATTTGCTTAAACTTTAAATTATTTACGAATTCTTAAAAACATGCATTTGAAGAAAATGTTGGATATAGTCGATTCTTTCACTGTTAAAAATGTACTGAATTTTGCATTAAATTTTGATTGACATTCGATTCTCAGTAACTCCTTCGAATAAGTCACTTACTCAGTAATGACTCTGTCTACACATAGTCGCACTGGAAAGTTAGAAATGATGTTTTTGTCATGCCTGGAATGAATTAACATTGCTCCCAGCCACGCCACATTCTTGTTTGCTCCAAAATATTTTCTGTAATGGGCGCAAAATACTTCCCCCAATCATGTTAAGAGTGGAAACATTTCCAGATTTGGCTGACGTTTAAGGACTCTATTGCGTGTTGATCGGCTTGGCGCCATTTTGTCTTGCGGCGTGCCATGTTGGACTTCGTTCTATAACAAAATTATAGGGTGCGTTCGAGCGTGCTACTCGTGTTAACACGAGTATACTCCTGAGCGCGCGAACGGCAGGACTGAGTATATACGACCCGCGGGTTAGCAACAGTATGCTCTCGATCCAACCTTATCCCCAGGGCTTACATTAGTTTCAGCCTCGTTCCCTATAGTAAGAACTGGATAGGAAACTATCTTCCTGTATCCTGATTCGATACCGCAATCAGCAAGTAATGGATTTATATCACGCCGCGACGAATTGATTCTGTTTTTATCCCGGACACCGCATACAAAAAAAAAAACCGCTATCGTAAAGCACAGGCAGGCACCAGACTATCCCTAATTTGCAAACGTGTTCAAAATTTTGGACATGCAACTGATCCACTACCAGGGTGAGAGAGCAGGTAGTGGTGGGCGCGTATTGGTCGAAACCCTGGGGACGAGGTTGACTCTCGGTCAGACCGGGAGTATATACTCTTGCACCGAGAGTAATGCGCACGCAATTTTTTCTTGCACTCGGGAGTACCAAGAGTAACACGCTCGAACGCACCCATAGAGTTGCGGCATCCAAAATCTGGATTACATTCGAAATTGGCGGGAAAAATTTGTCTAAGCACGAGACAAGGTCAATTAGTAGGCCTTTAGTCAGTCCAAGTATATAACCATCACCTTCAAATTCTTCCCTCATATTTCAGATACTCGTAGCTTACTTCTTTGCAGTTACATGCAGTTGTGCTTTAACTTTTTATTTCCTCCGCCAAGGAGGCTATATGTTTTCATCGGCGTTGGTTTGTTTGTTGGTTGGTTGGTTGGGTTGTTGGTTGGTTGGTTTGTCTGTTAATTAGATAACTAAACAAGTTATGGACGGATTTGCAGGAACATATTTTTAGGGGAAGTCCTTGGTCCAAGTACAAATCGATTAGATTTTGGAAGTAATCCGGATCTGGGTCTTGATCTAGGATTTTCTTTAAAGGATTCTTCACTTTAAAAAGAAATAGGCCTACTCGCAATGATGCGTACTGACAATATGGCGGGGAATTGTTCAGCCTTGGCGGAGGTTTGCGCTCTCCGAGTGCTTTCTAACTTTTAAAAATGGGATTGCACTTTTGATTTCATAATCTCTGACTGCATTAAATTCTGACTAAGAAAACTTCAAACCAAAGAGAAAAACGAATTAGCAGCTGAGAATGAGGAATTGGAGGATGCATTATATAGGCTAATTCATTAGAGAAAAAACTCAAACACAGTATGGTAATTAGCTTATACCGTCGGATGAAAACGTGACCTGGTCTTGAGCTTTGAAAACGCCAGCTGTATTGACCATTCAGCCGAAATGACCATATAATTATGTCGGACGAAGCAATCGCCGTGCATGCCGAGGTGTCTTGGCGTGGCGCAATCAAAAACGTCCGTCATCACATATCCTCTCTGCCAGATACCGAAGCCTTAGTTTCATCAACGCGTATCATCACTCAAATCCGCAAATCATATATGATTTCACAGTAGGTAATGCCATTTGACTGACCATGCAGTATACAATGGCCAATATCTGACGGTTTTGTCAACGGGATCCGGCGGGGGATTTAACGCTTGCGGCAAGAATCGTAATTGCATGAGTCGGACGGGAAGATTCAGCGTATTCCCTCTTTTGTTTAGTTTACGTGCACGTTCAGATCAGCCAACGCGAAATCCGTAGGGTAGACGGTAGAACACCGAAGTAATCCACAAAGGTAATCGAGTGTCGCTCAATCTGTTGTCAAGAAAATCCTGTAAACGATCTCCGAAAAAAACTCCTCAAATTCGAATAATGTTCCGTTTTATTCCGACTCTTTAGATTAAACACATTTAAAATTGGAACATGTCACATATAAGACTACAAAGTTGTTCGTGAGTCTGGGTACCAGATTGTTTCGTCATTTTCTCCCCCCCCCCCAACAACCCCACCTTTTTAGAGAAACCTCACACAAATGATAAATTTAGAAACTTGAAAATGTTGAAAAATTGGCGTTCTTCTGTATGAGCTTAGTCAAGCTTTAATACATAACGCATCCGCAAATTAGCTTTATTTTCTATACAGATAGGTTTTACGTGTGTGATATATACTTATGGCAATGATAACTTCTGGACAGTAGCTCTCTGGGGCATACTTTGAATGCCTAAAAAAATAAAGAAAGTCTGGATCATTTTGTTGGTCAGGAAAGATGATCAGAAAATAATGCATTTCACACCGAGCCAGTTTCTGCCCTAAATTACGATTTAACAGCTGCTCATTATTGCCGACTGGAACTCTTTGGAAGTATCCAGAATGATGCCAAGGCTTTTCTTGACATACCAAGATGTCTCCCTTTCTGGTTGCATGTGAAAAAAAAAGACCTGATTGGTTCGCTCAATTGCTCTGAGCTGCCGGTGAAAATCATTTAGAGTTGAACGATCTATTCTTGAGGCAATTAAGGACAATGAACCATGAGACTGCACCTCTCATACAAGCTGACGGAAGTCATTAAGCCAGTTGACGGAAATCGGAAACTTAAAGTTTGCTGACTATATAATGAAATTTATTGTCTGCTGGGATATTTGCAGGAGTACGATGGGACGACGTACTACCACAGTTTCTTTGCCTTCGGATTTTGTAATGTCCACTTTGTCCGAGTATGTACTTCTAACCAAAACTAAAAACAAACCGAAACTTGTGGTGTTTTTGATAAAGATACGTGCGTTTAAGAAGATTCGATCTCCGTGCTGTGATGACCATTGTACAAAATGCGCATGCGCACACATTTCGTGCACGTCAGACTCGAGATTCTACTTACGTCATATTCCTCACTGGTTGCTGATGGAGGTCTTGTTTTCAAGAAACCTTTTTTTGATGTCTACTTCACGAGGCTAATTAACATCGTTTTTCCAGAGGTGTCTGGGGATGAACTGGTTTTGAAATCAGCAATCTGACAGTGGCACCGTGATCTCTGGGCAGTTACACTAATGAATTTTCAGTGTCGGTTGCCATGAATTCAAAAATGTATTGGCACGAATTCGTGTCCAATGCATTTACCACCGTCAGAAAATAAATGAGATCTGGCTAGACTGCAACTTCACAAGGAAAGCCCATATATAGTAGCTTGTCCGATAGCTCACGACATTGATGTAGGCCTATTCTTTTTGGTTAAGCATGGCCAAAATGTTCTTGGATTAAGCTGTAGTGGTAACTGATGGAAAATGAACAAATCCACTTTCGCGTTCAAGTGAAAACCTGACATATTGCCCACACATAATATTATGTAGTACCTCAAAACAAGTGGCGCCAGACTAATCCACATGTGGTGTATATACGAAAAACAACTAGACCATGCAGTGTAAGTCAGGCGTAGTTTCAGTATCGAGGTAAGAAACGCAGAGAGTAACGCAATCAAGACGCAAACTGCAACGCAGACTCATACGGAAACATTTTCATCCGCAAATGTCACGACAACCCAGTATCTCGCAGACGATCGGCGCAGTCTGCGCAGTCTGCGCAGTCTGCATAAGCTTCACGTTGATATGGAAACTAGGCTTCACATGACAGTTGTACTAGTGAAAGTTGGAGGTCAGTCAGTGTGTCAGTCAGTCACTAACAATGAAGACACCAGTCTGACATTCTGAGACTGGCACAAATCGCACGTTAAGTTGTAACGTAGAGGAGACCCACATTGTTACTCTACTCTCTAAACAACATATTGATGTGGCAAACAGGTAGACTGAATTTCAGCTGCTATTTTCGCTAAGATGTATACAAGCGTCCGTATTGAAATGAAGCTGTGAACTATACAAAGAAATACAAAGAAAGCAAATATTAAAGGACTTCTACACACATTTGCCTTTAAAAAGAACACGGACTTCTCAGTACCTTTGTATAGGGCTACACTTGGCCATCGTGTATGATGATCGATTAAAATATAAAGAAAGAAGCGTTTAGACGTTAACAGATTGATAAATATATTTCAGCAATTCTTAAATTAGAAGAATTAAAAAACTTCATCGCAAAATATAGTTTACTCAAAACAGAAAGATGTGGGCCTAGCTGTAAATGCGAGTTTTTCCCCTTCAAAATCGACAAGTGTTCCTTTTTTTGTGCATCGTACAAATGCCCCTATATCATTGACCCCTCACAGATTTTCCAATATCGTCATTTGCAATCCCGTTGTTAATAAGCATTCAATGCCATAATCACCTGATTAATTGATGTGGCACAATCAGTTGCTAATTGTGACAAGGCCATTTTGGCTTTAAGCCTGAGTTCCCCTCTGTATTATACCTCTGATTTAATTTCCCACCGTGACCAGTGGCCAAATGCCCGGGGGAATTACTGTCTATCACTGTTTGCCAATTTAAACTCCTTAATGAACGGACCAGACTCGCAATGAGATTTCATCCGTCCGCTTGATGAAGATCGATGCCAAACTCATTGTTGTTTTAATTCTTTCTTTTTTTGCAGGTCGCATTGGTATGAGTTTTTGTAGCTGGAAAAGACTGCAGGATCACTGAAGGTGAGACCAGTAAAAGTAGTGAAATTTATGTGTTGTGGTTTCAGCAACCCTAACAATATAAACAATTTAGTCAGCATGCGACGGTTTCGTTCCATTCGTCCAGCGTTTTATACTATGGTATAAGGTAAGAGCAAAATCATAATCTGATAAGGTTTTTAGACCGCTCCCTATACTATAAAAACTGGTTTTGTATGTTCTATTGTAAACTATGCTTCATTCAAGATACTTTAATTTAAAACCCTAACACCTAGTATAGGCCCGTTTGCGAGGAGCCATCCTCAATCCTCCCAAATCCTCCAAAACTTGTGCACATATTTAAGTGAAGGATACCCACTGCCTCAATCCTTCAAAATCCTCCAACAGCTCTGCCTCTCACAATGCATTCAGCCTCACTCCTCCAAAAATCCTCCTCTTCTTGAAACACCATTCAGCCTCAATCCTCCAAAATCAACCGATACTGATCGTCAGTGTGCCCTGAATCCTCCACAATTCTTCAAAATTGTATGTTGCATTCATCCTCAATCCTCCAGAATCCTCCAAAACCGCCCGGAGGACTTTGGAGGATTGAGGAAGGTACTTATATGTACACGTTTTGCAGCTGCCATGACTGGTTTGTTACATTAATGGTCTCAAAGACGATCAAGTTGATTTTCAGTCTTAAAGGTTACATAGGCCTACAACTTTGCTTTTGTTGTAATTTTCAGAAATGGATAGATTTGAGAATTAGTGTTTTAAAGCAAATATTGTTACACTGACCTGTTTGAAGTTTTGCGTACATAGATGCTGGAAAAACCAAGAAAAACATGCTGTTGTTCCCCTACTTCAAACGAAACAGAGCAATTTATAGACGTATAGGATATTGTTAGGTCAGGGAACCAGACTAGCTGGCTTGCACCCGTTCACGGATGTGTAACTGATTGCAAACAAATGTGGACTATTTTGGTAAATTGGGTGCAGTATTTGAAAACAAGTCAGTTTTGTTTCCCAACGATGGTCGTCCGACCATTGTTTGAAATTGATACAAAAATTCCACTTTTCTTGAAAATGACAGCACACCAGGTGCCATGATTTCACAGGAAGCTTGAGACTATTATACCGCCAAGTAAGGTATTTCATAATATTTTGGCAGTTTTGTTTTTTGATGTTTGCAAATATTACCTTTAAACAGCTAACGTTTTCGTAAAATTGAGTCCTTTGAAACAAAATATTCCCTGTTCAGCCTTTATACAGGAAGATGTAAGGTTTGTTTTTGTTTGGGTATTGTCCACTCGGTTATACATTGCCTATAATTCACAATCATCACTGCACACTCTCCAATCTTCGGTCATCATTGACAAGTTAGGTGAATACCCATCTCCTTAGGCCAAATTATTACACCTGACTCAGTCCATCAGTAAATTGCAATTTACGTGGAATGGCGCTCTGTGTACAAAGTGTCGAGAACAAATATTGACAGCACAAGAAAGACTTTGAAGGAGATACAAAAAAGCTGAATTGTGTGTATTGAGAAAAGCAAACGGTACCTACGTGCCAAACAAGATCGAGGGCCACACAAATTTTTATCATTTTGATAAATTTGATGTGGAGTAGGTTCGTAACTTCGATTGATGACTTTCACTTATAAGTTGCGTCTCCGCAACGACCACGCCGTGTACATATACGCAAGGTATTCAGGCGGAAACAGTTTAAACATCATTAGGTATAGCACAGTTGAATAAGCCATTTGCGAGTTAAATTTGAATAAAATCTGGAACGCTGACTTAATACAATGCTTTGCACGTTTTAACCTAGCATTCTCCTGACCAAAGAGACTGTTACTATATCACGTGATTTGGGGCAAGCCTTATGCTAGCAACCCCCAGCTCCGGCATGGTCTGGTGTCTTTGTACCATTCTCACCCATTGTGAACAATGTATTGGTGCTGAGCGTCTCTTACGTAACTATGCAAGAGCTTGCCCCGAATCATGTGATTAGCAACAGTGTCTTTGGTCTGGAAAATTCAAAGTTAAAATGTGCCAAGCATTCTGAGCAAGTCAGTGTACCACATGTTTTTCAAATGTAAATCCCAAAGGGTATAGGTTACTCGTAAATGGCGTATTGGAACAGTCTCCCTGGTTTTAGAAACCAAGACAAGTTGTCTTGCAAACATAGGATAATTTTATATACAAGTGGGATGCCGCGCTTTGTGCGGCACCCGCTAACTGGGTGGAGTCATATACTACTGTTTTTACTTTGATCTCAATTTGCATGTTGACCCGAAATGGGCGTGGTAAGCCTTGATGAAACATCATCGCCATATTTTCCCCAATGAAAGTTATGTTTTTCGTAATAGCGATACGTTTTGGAGTGTTTTCATTGAGATACTGTTGTGATATTTAATTATTCAAAGTCTGAAAGAAACACATTTGCCAAAAAAGTAAAACAAAATAAATAAATCTTTTTTTTTTCACGTGCCAGCCGTGACGTCAGAGGAGAGTGAAATCGGAGCATATATACATACCATTTAAGCACCTGCACAATTGTTGACATCATAAATAGCACAGACACACATACATCAGACAGACATCAGACAAACAGACACAGACAAACAGACATCAGACAAACAGACATCAGACAAACAGACATCAGACAAACAGACATCAGACAAACAGACATCAGACAGACAGCGTAGGATATTTTAATATAGGATGACAAATATAATGACCTTTGAGATAAGACATCCCGTCATGGAAGCATACAGTGTCTTTCTTATAGATCTCAGTCTATTGCGTGGTTCATTTAATTGATTTTAATGGATGTTATTGATTCTAAACTTCTTAACAAAAATCTTGCTCGTTTCCTTAAACTTGATGCTACGGCAGACGTAACAATACCCAACCAAAAATATCCTTCCAAAAAAAAAATAATGAAAACAGATTTATCTGTTCTTTCTTAAAAGTAATATTTTATTTGAGGTAATGCTAATAGAGTTATAGCGGTTATTTTGTTAACTCTAGTTTAAGTCCCATTATGTAAAATCTGTAGTCATTTCAAATTTACATGCTGCGGCGCCTCTATATACATTAAGCTCTTGTTCATTAATTGACACAGGTGGATACAGCGGACGCGTAGTTGTGTACTTTAGCGCTAACCATAAAGTCAACTCAAGCTTTGCCGCTCAGTCATCGGTAATTCCGAAGTCCAATCACAGTTTACCTCTGTCTTAATCATATATTTCATCGAGGGAGATTTTTTTTGCGAATTCCAGCTCCCTGCAACCGATGTGTTGCGCGCGTTGTGTGTATCAATTTTAACGCGGGTCCGACACACGTCATTTTGGACTCTCCCGCCAAATTTGAGGCATGCGTTTCCGATCGCGCGCGAACAGACGAAGAATGTCAGTGATACGAACGTCCGCGTTGACAACTTAACTGGCGCCAAGACTTGTATACGGAGCGATCAAGGACTTTTTAAAGGGCCAGCTTGGTTAGGCTCAAAGTTGTGAACCGAAAAATCTTGGTTGTGAGGTTGTCATATTTTTTGGTTTAAAATTACGAGGCAAGAGGGCCGTCAGATTGATTGTCTTGCCATTCATCAGATGGTAAGATCAATGAACTGGTCACTGTGCCTTGTAGTTGGACAGTTTTGTTCGAGTGCTAATTTATTTGGTTTCTTGGTTAGTTGCAAAGGTTGGCTGACTGATTGGTCGTTGGTTGGTATTTTAGTTGATTGTCGGGTTAATTGTTAGTTAATTGTTTCATTAGTTGACAGTGGCTCCGTAGTTGACGTTTATCAGGGGTGTGACATCTCAGCTTTAAAGCTGATTTCAGGTTTTTTGTTTTAGATTTCATCTTTTTCCTCACTAGGTTGTGTACAAAAGTATAGAAGATTTCCAAAGTTCAGCTTTTTGCACGTTTTTCAGCTGTTTTTTTTTATCAGTGGTCACTCACACCCCTGGTAATAAACACTGTATACTCAGTGTGTTACCTGCCGAGTGAAAGTTGGACGAAAAATCACTCGGGTGGGACTCGAACCCACGACCTGCTGCTTTCTAGTGCAGACGCCTTACCACCCGACCACCGAGCTTGCGGGGTCGGTTGGCTGGTTCGAATCTGGTGTACATGTAGCAGCGGTATACCACAGTTAAACTATTTATAAGATGAAGGGCAAAACTTAATATTGATTTACATCACCCCGACGCAAATTCCATCTTATGAACGGCTTGGTCTATAGATTATTCGGTTATTTCAAGTTTACCCATTGTGATCACAACGACCAATCCCTGTCCTAAAACCTCAATACGTTCGACTGAGGCATCTAAGCCCTGCAACTGTCAGGTTCTGTAAGCCAGGCCAATTCACGCCAACCGACCTCCCTTTTTTTTTTTACTCCTGCTGAACCGTTTATTACAGTAATGGCCGGATAGATGTTTCACCGCGCACCCGAAAGCTCGCTGCTGACAGAGTTACCATCGGCAGCACATTAAAGCTGATACTAGCGAACGGGCCGGCGGAAATTGCACGGAATACTTCAACGTTGGGGTGTAAATTCCTCCCGCGTGACAGTAACAGAGAGGCGAGTTGCACAGAGCTGCCGAGCTTATGGATTTATCTAAACCATCAGGCCCAACTGTTCTGTAATGTTGGTTGTGACAGTTTGCGGGCATATCTTTCTTCGCCATGTTAATTTGTCGAGTTATATTTTCTCCACTGGAGGTTTCATGAAATTGTTGGCAAATGCTCGGTTTCCGTTCGCGATAATCAGTACGTTTCAAGGGCCCTTAGCATGAATTTGACTGTGAACACATTTTATGCAACTACTGTCACGTATACTGAAACAACAACGAATTGCCAAAGAAAGGAAAATTAACGACAGCAAAATGTCCAAAATTCTGGAAAATATTGCTGCTGAATCAGCTGTAACATTGAGATTTCTGCCAGGTATCACACTTTTGCTCATGAATATGCAAATTTACATTAGCATAAAAACCACAACGGCACCAAAATGCCCTTAGAAATGGC